AATGTTCAACCGCAAACCATACGGGGGCATTCAGCCCATCACTAGCGTAAAATACTCTTTGTAATTGTGTTGCTCTGCACTCACTGGCCACTTTATTAGGTACACAATTGCTTAGTAACACAAATTGCTAATCAGCCAATCACTTGGCAACAACTCAATGCATGTAGGCATCTAGCCGTGGAGAAGACAACTTGCTGAAGTTCAAACTGAGCATCAAAATCAGGACGAAAGGGGATTTAAGTGACTTTGAACGTGGCATGGTTTTTGGTGCCAGATGGGCTAATCTGAGTATTTAAAAAACTACTGGGATCTGCTGGGATTTTCACACACAACCATCTCTAGGGTTTATAGAGAATGGTCCAAAAAAATAGAAAATACCCAGAGGTCAGTGGAGAATGGGTAGACTGGTTGCTGCAACATTTAGATGGTAGGGTCAGAATTTGGCGTAAACAACATGGAAGCATGGCTCCATCCTGCCTTGTATCAATGGTTCAGGCTGGTGGTGGTGTAATGGTTTGGGGAATATTTTCTTGGCACTAGCAAGGTGTACCTAATAAAGTGGCCGGGGAGTGCATATATAGTAACAGTTGTATCCTGTATGTTCTGAATTTGAGTGAAGTAAAGCAGTATTGGAGTGTAGGTGATTGATGTGTGCTTCTACTATTGATGTAACTCAACCGAGGATCTGAGCCAGATTTTATTACCATATCTTGGAGATGACCGTTGTGTGGCTACAGTCCTTCTCTTACTGAAACACGTACACGCATCATGGTACATTTTAGATGTATTCTCTCATTGCCATTCATCGAAAGAATAGGTTTTTATAACATACGAATTATAGTATGTATTAACAAAATTTAGATTTTGTTTTAACTTGACATTTTCACAAAAATTGGGAGAATTTGGAGAAATGGTTCAAGTTGACAAAATGCATTGGCATTAAGGGGTCAAGCAACAAATTAGTGGTTTTTAAGGGTGCATTTAGCTCCTAACGGTTGGATACCTGAAAGCTTCTCATTAGCCTTATTATTTTTTTTGCCAGAAAGAAAAAATAGACAATGGAAAACAAATAAATATATAAAAAATTGAAAGCAATGTATTTTAAAAACTATAAAGTACAAAATATAGCCCGTCTCCTAAAAAAAAAATAATAATACAAAGAAAAACAAATAAAAAAAATGTAAATTGCTAATTTTTTACCTACGTAACTCAGCAAAAGCAACTGTGAGTTCTGACTTTAGCAAAATTTTGCTGACAGCAAAATTATGCTCTAAAACCAATTTTGGCAAAATCACTCATTCTTTGCACAAATTCACACATTTATGTAAATGCAGTAAAACTTGGCTCTGGTTTATCTTTGTTTATTTCATTTTCAATAGCCTGGCCTGTCTGACTTTCAGTGACATTGCATCCCATATAGCCATCCCAGAAGGATACTTATATTGACTAGCACACCAGCTAAAATTCTTTTGCCTTTAAATGACTTGAGCCAGCCAGAATAGCTGTGATCCTTTGGCCTCTCCTGTGCTATCCAACAAAATTAATCAAGCAATATTTCCCGGCTACTTCGCCCCCATATCGGAAATAATTGCCCACCTGCCAAAGTTTCCACTCTGCCCCCTGCCTGTGGTCACTATCACAGCAGGAGGGGGCAGAGGCTTCTGGGGAATTTCGGACTGCTGCGCGACAATAAAGGCCAAATTGAGCTTGTGGATTTTTTTTTTTTCCCGAGCCGCATGGAAAAGTGTCAGCCTAAGTGGGGAAGAGATTTTTTATCTGTCATCAAATTCTATGTTTCCATATAAGATATTGTGTCTGTAAAATTCTATTTACTGTTAGCTATATTGGGCTCATGAAGATCTTTGATTGCTGTTGGAAGAACATTGCGGTGGAATATATAAAACCCTACTCCTTATTAGATTGCTCATATTTCTACAGAAGTGAATAAAATCCCAAAGTGGTAATTCCCCCTCTCCTGCTGCAGGTGCTTATAACAGTTTCTTGTGAGTATGGTCGCTGGCGGAGAAGGAATAAAGGAAAGCGGAGGGTGAAATGAAACAAAAAAAAAAAAGGAAAAGCTGTCGACTGCTATCCACTAAGTACTTCACTCGCTCTGTCGTGCTATGTATCTTATTACCGAAACGGCATGAAAGTTATTTAGCTATAATTGCCCGACTGCTGCACTATTTGGAATTGTTCTTTGTCAGAGCCAAGCAAAATCGACTGAAATACCTGTGCATCGTCAGCCAAAAATTCTCTGCAGATTTATATTGGCCCCGCCGAGAAATTTCTGTTTAACTTGTAATCAAAACAACTCAAACCTAGTTACTGTTTGCATAGCTGCCAAAGCTCTCAGTTTGAGCAGTAGGCAGTGCACTCTTGGTATGACAGGCTGTCGCTCATGTATAAGTGGGATCTGCCAAGGCTGCACTGTAAGGTGGTGAATTAAATGGCAACAAGTAAGGGCACCGATCAACTAAAGAGAATCGCCTGGTTTAGGATAGATCTCATGTCAAATTCTTTCTTAAAGAAAAAAAAAAAATTCAAGTAGACATAAACATCATCAAAAATCTCATCTAAACTTCAACGTGTTCCTGCAATGTCAAAAGTCTCTTTATATTTGATTAAATTTTACTAAAGTCTCCTTCAGTCTCTTTATATTTGATAAAATTTTACTAAAGTCTCCTTCAGTCTCTTAATATTCGATAAAATTTTACTAAAGTCTCTTTCAGTCTCTTTATATTTGATTAAATTTTACTAAAGTCTCTTTCAGTCTCTTTATATTTGATAAAATTTTACTAAAGTCTCCTTCAGTCTCTTTATATTTGATTAAATTTTACTAAAGTCTCCTTCAGTCTCTTTATATTTGATAAAATTTTACTAACTAAAAACTTGTGATCCCAAATTTAAAATAAGGACAAAAAACATTTGTGTGGTTAGGGGGGGTTAGACCCTATGCCAGGTTTTATTGCCGCATGACGATTCCCTTTCTATAATTTTCTTGTTATGAGACTAGAAATGGAAAGGCCTGGGAAAAAAAATGGAAAATTGAAAAGAAAAAACCCCTGTTTTTCCCAAAACCGTTTTTGTTTTTTTCCTGAAAAAAAAAAGTGTGGAATATGTTTTTTTAATCTATGACATATTATTCAAACTATATAACATGACGACCATAATGGAAATTTCTGAAACTTTATGTAATGTCTGAAATGATTGCTCTTAGCTGAAGGTAAGGAAATCCCGGAATACAATTCAAGTAACACTGTACTTCTCAAAGTATTTCTCAAAAAGAGAAATAGGAATTTCTGCCACTAGGGCCACTGCAGGAGAAAGGATCCACTTTATTTTTCTTGCGGGCTCCATCTTGTGCATCCTACAGTTAGGTGATTGCTGGGATATAGTAGATGTCCTCCTCCAGGTAAGAGAGTAAATTTGTCTGAAAAATTAGTTTTTCTTTATAACCTTTATAACCTTTAACCACTTCCAGACACTTTTACCCCCTTCCTGCCCAGGCCAATTTTCAGCTTTCAGCGCTATCACACTTTGAATGACAATTGCGCGGTCATGCAACACTGTACCCATATTAATTTTTTTGAGACAGATAAAGCTTTATTTTGGTGGTATTTATTAACCACTGGGATTTTTAATTTTTTTTGCTATGTAAATGACAAAGTCCAAAAATTTTGAAAATAAGTGTTTTTCTTATACAATTTTGCAAATAAATAGTATTTCATCATAAATCTTGGCCAAAAGTTATTCCGTTATATTTTTAGTAAAAAAAAATAGTTTATAACCAAAAATTATAATTTTTAAACTTTTTTTTACATTTTTTTAATTTTTTTTTATATTATTTTATATTTACACTGTACTACTTGTGGGGGGTGGTGAAGAAGATTTTTTTTAAACTGATTGCTTTTACACCCATAAAGGATGTAAAAGCAATCATTTCTCCTTCTCTCTAGCTGCATTCTTGCAGCCATTGAGAACTACTGTGTGAGCTGTGATTGGTCACAGCTTGTCACATGGTACAAGGCTGTTGTGAATAGCCCTGTACCATGTGACCTCTGTGATCATTCACAGATTTCACACATAGTAAGCAATAATGTCACAAGTGACATCTTGCTTACTACTCTGCATGTGATCACTGATTGGCCAATCAGTGATCACATGATTGGGACCTCGTACAGAGGTCCAGTCCGACGATCGCTGTTCCACTGTGTCCGGAGGAAACAGAATTGGGATCATCATGAGAGTCAGAGCCTCAAATTTTCAGCTATGAAGAGGAACACCATGCAAGGGATTGCAGAAGTCAGGATGGATGCCTCTGTACTGGATGAATGGCCAAGTCTGTACCTGCATGTGTAGCAAGTAAATGAATAAACCACCAGTAATGCTAGTGCTAAGTTGCCACTAGAGGAAGCTCTAATGATTTCTAGTGTGACTTCAGGAAACAACCAACAAGTTCACATTAAAATGTTACTAAACCTACAATAGTAAAATCAGTCTGTATATGTAGTAAAGCATGCTTGTTATAGTCATGGTGGAACCCAAGGGGTTAATCCTCTGCATTGTGTAAAAAAGCTGTTTGATCCTGTCCTCTTTGATCCTCCCCTTATTGCAGTGTCTCCTGATAAGACAAATCGTGTGGAGTCACTCTGTACATGCTCAGTTTGGTGCGTTTCGCTAGCGAGGTTTTTTCTTGGGAGGGTGCATTGTGATCAGCACAGGGCAAATCAGACGTAGGTTAGGGGTTCAGCATCCTGCTAGAGCAAATTCAAAACTTCTCCTACAAGCTTTAACCAGTTCTCGGCTGGACACTGACAGAAGTCAGAAGACTGCAATATACTGCTGATGTGAAAAGGTATTTAGCAGTTTATATTTACTAAAATAATTGCACTTCCATTTTCTTTGTACTGTGGGAGACCAGATATAGTGAATGCAGGGTCCTGGGAGACCAGATATAGTGAATGCAGGGTCCTGGGAGACAGATATAGTGAATGCAGGGTCCGGGGAGACCAGATATAGTGAATGCAGGGTCCGGGGAGACCAGATATAGTGAATGCAGGGTCCAGGGAGACCAGATATAGTGAATGCAGGGTCCTGGGAGACCGGATATAGTGAATGTAGGGTCTGGGGAGACCGGATATAGTGAATGCAGGGTCCTGGGAGACCAGATATAGTGAATGCAGGGTCCTGGGAGACCAGATATAGTGAATGCAGGGTCCGGGGAGACCAGATATAGTGGATGCAGGGTCCTGGGGAGACCAGATATAGTGAATGCAGGGTCCTGGGACTCCAGATATAGTGAATGCAGGGTCCGGGGAAACCAGATATAATGAATGCAGGGTCTGGGGAGACCAGATATAGTGAATGCAGGGTCCGGAAAGACCAGATATAGTGAATGCGGGGTCCTGGGAGACCAGATATAGTGAATGCAGGGTCCGGGGAGACCAGATATAGTGAATGCAGGGTCTGGAGTGACCAGATATAGTGAATGCAGGGTCTGGAGAGACCAGATATAGTGAATGCAGGGTCCGGGGTTTAGTAACACTTTAAGTGTTAGTAAAGGCAGAATTGTTTTTTAAATTAAAATAACAAACATTTTTATACTCACTTGTTCTATGCAGTGGTATTTCACAAAGCAGCCCTGATCCTCCTCTTCTCGAGTTCCCTGCCGGCAATCCTGGCTCCTCCTCTTCTTTGTGTATCCCCATAGCAAGCCGTTTACTATTGGGAAACACTATACGTGCTCGCTCCCGACCTGTGTGTCTATGGAATCGAGCTCCATAGACACATACAGCAGGACTTAGTCCCGCCTCCCACTTCCCCTTCACTGCATTGATTGACATCAGCAAGAGCCAATGGCTCCTGCTGCTGTACGAGTCCCTGTGTAAAGAGGAAGTAAGGGGAGAAGAGATGCAGCCGTGCACGTGGCTGATCTCTTCTCCCCTTTCTTCCTTCTCTGCCCTTCACACAGGAAAACTAAAAATGTTTTTTAACCCTCATGCAAGCAATGCATTAAAGTAAACATTTTCAGGTTTAGTATGACTTTATACTCAGAATACAGGTTAATCACACTTGGTTTATGCTATCTTTGCTCATTTTTGTGTTTGTTCTGACATTCACTTTCTCTTTTTAGTATTATATATGTTAGTAATAGTAACTCTGTAACACAAATTGATGAGCTTCTCCATGTGGCCTGTGCTGCCACTATAAAGAAAGTAATTATCTGTATAGTATGATTTATTTCCGTTTGTCACATTAAACTCAGAATGAGCAAGTGAGCACATGTGTTTTTTTGTTCTCCTCTTGATACAGATACTGCAGGCTGCATCTTATGTCATATTCCACTTGCAAGTTCTTGTGACACTTCATTTGTTGTATGGAAAATGGTGAAAACTGTTAAAACCAAAGTTTCTACACAAAACAAAATACAAAATAACAGAATACAATCTATCATATATACACAAATATTGTCCATATAAAAAAATCAAAAAGAGGTGTAAAAATTAGATCTTGCTGTTCCTGGTCCCATAAATTGGAGGCAGACATTGGTAACAACCACCACATTCCTATATCAACCATGCATCAAAGTCTGGAAAAATCCAGATGATCCACTAAACCCATCCATAGATCCACAAACCTTCATGTAGATAATGGGCTAGATATACATAAGATGCCTTCAATATCTTAGTATAAATCCATGAAAGTACATCCTTCATCTAAATGGCTGGTAATTCTAGTGTTTCACAATTTGAGAGGGTAGAAATAAAGCTCTTGTTGACTTAAGTACCAAATTCCTGTGCCCCACAGTGATTTCAAACCATAAAGTACACTTTAAAATGGCTTGCCCAAGACAAACTCCTTCACCGCTTGGACCATGCTACAGATTCGTTAGGCCAACATGTGTCTGTTTTGGGCAAGCTACGTTTACGTGCACTTTATGGTTTAGTATCACTGTGAGGCACAGGAATTTGGTGCTTAAGTCAAAAAGAGCTTTATTTCTACCCTCTCAAATTGTGAAACACTAGAATTACCAGCCGTTTAGGTGAAGGATGTACTTTCATGGTTTAAAACTGGGATATTAAGGGCCCTTCATGTACATCCAGTCCATTATCTACATGAGGGTTTGCATCCAGCCCATTATCTACATGAGGGTTTGTGGATCTGTGGATCAGTTTGGTGTATCATTATTTTATGAAGGACAGTAAACACCTTTTAGACTGCAACCTCTCAATGTTTCTTTTGCCCTGAAGATGCTATACTGACGAAACGCATTGAGACCTTCAATTCATCCACAAACAGCTTCCTTTAGAGAATTCACATCAGAACCTTTGGGGCTGGTTTCTCCCAGATGGATCATTTGTTATTTGCTAGGTTTATATGTACTGTACATCTGTAAGCAGTGGATGAATATCTTTGGTTGCAATTTATTCTTGGTTTACTTTATGCTGTAACCCAATTTTAAAATCAGGGCTTTATGGCCTCTAGCTGTGTTGCAAATAAAGGCTATGTTTTAATTTAAATAGGAGTTTTAATGTTTCTTTGAGAGAATCCCCATCTAAAAACTTTATTTGGTGTTCTGGATTTTTTCCAGACTTTGATGCATAATATTACTGTATCTGCTGGTAGAGGAAAATTCTGCAATAGTACCTAAAAAGAAAAAAACAAAGACTATGGGTGTGACAACCTCAAGGCTTGTAAGCAAACTTTGGGTCCTAGTGGTGGACAGCCTCCATAAGATTGCCTCACTCAAAACCAGAATGGTGGTGTGACAGAATATTCATCATCTCTTAGGAGGCATTCGTATTGTAGTTGAGCTGTAGATTGGCAATTTTTTTGTGTTTGTACAGGAATTTTTGTGTGCTTTTGCAAATGTTTTAGGCCTGAGTGATTTTATTTTTAGCCAATATTAATGCGACTCTGGCCCAAAAGAAGCTCATGTGTTTTCTAAAATGATGAACTTCCAGCCTAAAATTACACTATGCTAAACTGTGAACAGGCACCACTGAATCGTAATGAAAATTGTATTGTTGAGCGTTGAAACACTTTTGGTGAAGCTTCAAATCATGCTTTAAGTTGCTCAGGTGTGAATGTGTGTGGGTGGGGATCAGGGGCGGACTGACCATTTGGAAACTCGGGCACTGCCCGAGGGCCCGGGGTCAGTAGGGGGCCCCATGAGATGCCCCTGGTACCTTTTTCATAGACTTTTTTGAGTTTGGGCAAGGATACAGGGGCCCCATGATCCCCTATTGCCCGGGGGCCCCATGAGTTGTCAGTCCGCCCCTGGTGGGGATTAATGCGCTCTGTAGAGGAACGTTAAGTGAGCTCTCGCTAGTGCACCCAGTAGGCAAAGGCTGCGTTTATGTGAAATTAGCATCAAGGCAGCACCCTAGATTAAAAGCGAGACTCTTCCAAGAGAACACTTGTAAACCCTTTATAATCCGTGCAAACTTCTACACTCTTAAATTTATTACATAAAGGACACAACTACTGTTAGAGTTCACCTCTTCCTAGATATGCAGTATATCTGAGCCGGTACCGCAGAAATTGCACTGCTCTCCACCAAGTCAGTAGTCCTGTCACCTTACTCCCAGTGAAAATGTTCCATATGTTGCTATTGGGTACAGTTAGCACACTACTTCACAAACTGCTGCTTGTTCTCCTCCCCACTACACCCTCCTAGGCTAGGTCCTTAGGTACTCTGTGCCATGAAGCTGGTTCCAAGATGTGAGGAACCAGTCGCTAGTGAAGGGGCCAAGAATAACACCCCTTCACTACCACAGCCTCCATCACCCCCGCCATGACACCCACTTCCTAGCTGGTTGGCTGCTTAGGCATGTGACACAAGTATGGTAGTCATTAGCAGTGGCAATATAACCTCTTTATAACAGCTCCCTTGCTTGTTGTTAGACCTCTGTACTGTATCTTCACTAACTTCTCTTGTCCCCTTGAATAAACTCTGTTGTTTTGACATGCCATGCATGCACACCTTTAATAAACTTTAGTTATTAAACTGAACAATAACTGAACTATAACGTTATTTTACTAAAGTAGTTGAAAGTAGTACAGAAGCAGTTCTTCAAGATATCTTCAAAACACATTTCTGACAAAGTCCTCTACGTGCCCCTGTTGTAGTGCCTCATGAGGAAGCCAAATCTTGAGGTAAGCAAACCTTATTTAGGTAGTAAAGTCCCTTACATTCATTTGCAAGGTAAGAGTCCATTGTTGGCAGTAAAACCATATGAGGTAGCAATAATCCATAAAAGTCCAGCATCTGGTAGCACAAGTCCATATAAGTCCATACCCTTTGAAAACCCAACTGGGCTCCCAAAGGGGGGCACAGTGTGACAGAGTAATGGCTACATCTTGAAATGTCCCCCTTTCTCCTCCCCTGGAGCCCTTATTTATATGGTACAACCTGCAGGGGACAGTAACCTCCTGAAAAGTTTGGGAAAACCTGGCCAGCAGAGTTAATCCTCCCTTCTCAGCGGGTCAACCAAGGGCAAGAGTGCCATTAACCTACAATGTTGCAAATGGTTCTTACACACAAATACAGAATAACCAGATCCAGAGATTGTAATATTGAACAAAAAAAACATTTAACAGAAGGAAGCACCTGCTACACGTCCCTTTAATGGTAGTGGTGATCTAGAAGGCAACAACAGTTGTAAAACAGAAGTACATTCATGTATTTAAATAAACATTCCAGACTGCTGTCCTTACCCCTATAACAATCTTGCTGGCTCCATACTGTTGCTTCTACTCAATTTTTTTTTGATGCAACAGTCCCTCCCTCTACTAGATCATTGTGAAATGTCTTGTTAAAGTATACCTAAAGGCAAAACTTTTTTTTTTAGTTTTTGGTAGGGTGAAGAGGTATTAGAACCCCTGTCATTTTTCATCGCTGTCTGTGCCCCTTTTAGGGAGATTCACTTTCTCAATTTGTCCTCTTTACCGCTATCATTGGAAGTGAAAGTAAAAGAAAATCCCAAATTTCGGGTTGACACCAAAACAGCAATAGAGGACAAACCTTCCAATGAGGACACTATTTCTGGTAACAACCAGGGATTTTCTTCACTTTGGAGGGCTTCCTCTCACTTCCGGTTTTGGCTGTTGGACAGGAAATGAACGGAAATTTCTCCAATGGGACACAGATGGCAAAAAAAAATAAAAAAATGACATCGGTTGTACTCTACTCCTTTAATCTAAAATGTGTTCATTCATAACTG